GAGAAGTGGTGCCTTGGGGCGCGCCCGGGATCCGAACCCGGGCCGCCAGCATCAGAGCGCGCGCACTTAACCGCTAAGCCACGGAGCCGGCCCCATATTTAGTTTTAGAAGAAACTGTTCTTGGTTACTGCCTTCAGGTCCTTTGCTCTCCTATTCTTATCCAAACACTGCTCTGTACTTTCTCTCCCATGAGCCAATCCTCCACTGCCTCCAAAAAAGATAAAAAAGCAAACAACTCCCTTTATAACATCAACTCCCTTTTCCTGCCTTCACAAACTCTGGTGTTTCCTTTTTCTTTTCGTCTTCATGGAAATAAGACTCTTGCTAGGACAAAACCACAGGCTCCTCAGTGCTGCCCATTCTCTGACATTCCACATACTTCACGATCTGGAGATGGGAACCAGTGTTCTCCTTGCTCCCAATTATTACTCCTACACCCTCACATCAACACCTGTGCTCCTTTTAGGTTTCCGCGACCCCTCATGGTCATCTAAGGTGGCTCTGGTCACTGTACCCTATCTGGCTCAGTCTCTCTTTTGATCCCACTTCCCCATAGCTTTCTCACCTCCTCTATTCCAATCACCTTAACTTTGAGTGGCCTCATTTCTTGCCACTTTCATTACATTCTATGTTCTGGCCAAGCTGAACTTTTCAGTTCTTCAAACATACCATACCTACTCTCACAACTATGAAACATCACACTGCTATTCACCACACCTCTACTCAGCTTAATTTTAATTTCCTCTGCCACAAACTTTAGGTAAGATTTTGAGAAGTACCGAGTTCAAAGGTGTGAACATTTTATATGTGAAATCATTTATATGATTTAAAAAGAACACACATCATGTGCTGCACAAATAGTGGAGTAACAGTACTAACTACACATCCTGATCCATTCCATCCATGCTAACCCATTATTTACACTGGACCAATAGCTTTTATTCATTAATTTATTTCAATCCAAATATTTACTAAGTTCTTATTTATATGCACAGTCCAGGTGTAGTGTAGGAGATACAGAAGTGCATAGGACACAAGGCCTCATACTCCAGTGGTATAAACATCAAATACAAATAATTTCATAAGGTTTATGAGATTATAGATGTACAAGTGCTTTACAGTCTTTAGGCCACGGTTTCTCAGTCCTGGTACTACTGACATTTTGGGCTGGAGAATTCTTTGTTGTCACGGGCTGTCCTGTGCATTGTAGGATGCTTGGTAGCATCCCTGGCTTCCACCCACTAGATGCCAGTAGCACCCTGCCATAGACCTAATGTTTGTGCCCCCATCCCCCCAAGTTCTTATGTTGAAACCTAATTCCCAGTGTGAAGGTCAAGAGGGCGGAGCGCATTTTTAGAAATAATTTTTAGTGACAGGGTATGCACATGGTTGAAATGAGATTACACTTTGCACTTTCCTAGAGCATGTTACACTTCAATGAAAAGCTTACCAAAATAAATTTCTTTTTCAACTTTCTCACTTGTGGTGATGGTGGTATGAAGGGTATCAAAATTCCTAAGTTGAAGAAAATAAGAAGACTTCCTTCACAATTGATTTTCAGGACTGCAGGGAGCTGTCCCACTGGAAACAGGATTCCTTTGGGCAACTCTGGATTCCAGTACCTTGGTAAGGCATCTAGGATACAGGAGTTATTCTGTCACATCCCTGCACGGAAGGTGCTGCTGCTGGGGCTCCTTGTGGAGCGGACAGCGCCCGGCAGAAAGGACTAGGGCAACAAGGACTGGTGGGTGGGCTGACGCGGGACTGGAGCGGAGCTGACAGACCTGCCGGCTTCAAGAGCTGGCCCAGGAAGCCGGCGGGCTGGGGCGCAGGCCCAGCCGCGGACCCCTCAGGGACGCGGGCTCCTCACCGGCACAGACCCCTCACGGACCCGGCCCCATCATCCGGCGCCCTCACGGGCGCGGACCCCTCAGGGATCCCAGCCCCTCACAAGCGCGGACCCCTCAGGGACCTGGCCCCTCACGGATCCGGACCCATCACGGACGCGGACCCCTGAGGGACCGGGACACCTCACGGCCCCAGACACCTCCGGAGGGCGGGCCTCTCACGGGCGCCGGCAGCTCGGGCCACGGGAGCCCCGAGCGGCGCGGGCTCCGGAAACTGAGGTGCGGGTACTCGGCCCCTCGGGAAGGCGGGCGGGCCGTCACCCGGCCCCAACCTGCCCCTACCTGCCGGCGGGAGAAGAGAGCCGTCCCCGGCTGCAACACCCGGGAGCCACAACGCCGGCATAGCACCGCCTTACGGTTTCGGCCCTCGGCGGACACCAACTCGCTCAGCTGCTCCATAGGCTCCATGGCGGCCAGCGCCTCAGCCTCTTACGCCGCAGCCGCGCAGGCGCCCTCTCGCTCGGCCTTTCTGAACTGCGCAGGCGCTCCCCACCCCCCCAGACTCTACTGCGCAGGCGCCCTCATCCTCTGCCTAACCTTGGCGTAAGCGTGGCTTTGTGACAGGGTCACTTCCTGGGACGTGACAAATCCTCTCCGTACTCACCTGGTCACTGGGCTTCCCTTACTATTGACTAAAACGCAGACAAATAAGTCATTACAATCGACCCTAACTCTTCAGTTTCCTGAGATTTGAATTCAGTTCACGAAAGAACGGGGACATTCCTAGAGGCAACGTGAAGGGGACCTGGGTTGGACTCCCATCAGCAAGTTTTAGCCACATTAGCTTCTTCTACTTAGAGGGACATGCACCTTTTTGGTGTTGGAAAAAGATGCCTGGAAGCTTTAATTGCTGGTCTCTGTTCTAATCATAGTGATTACATATTAGGTGGAAAAACATTATATGGAACACTTTAGAAACGACCCTGTTGAATCATCACAATTTCCTTATGGTGCTGTCATTCGTTATCCCCAGTGCACAACGACGAAGTTAAAGTTTAGAAAGGTTCCTTTCCCAGGGTCCATAGATCCAGGCATGGCTCTAAAGACACCTTAAACTATACTTTCTGGGCCAGCCCAGTGGCTTAGCAGTTAAGTGCGCTCGCTCCGCTGCTGGCGGCCCGGGGTTCAAATCCCAGGCGTGCACCGACGCACTGCTTCTCCGGCCATGCTGAGGCCGCGTCCCACATACAGCAACTAGAAGGATGTGCAGCTATGACATACAACTATCTACTGGGGCTTTGGGGGAAAAAAATAAAATAATTAAAAAAAAATTATCCTTTCTCATTCCATCTGATTAGTCTTTAGATCTCTAGCTTATTACTGCTAGTGCAACCGGCCATGGGTTTGCTGAAATGGCAGGGAAAGCAGAATATGAAGCAGAACTAAGCCACTCGATTAGGTAATGTCTAATCTACCCACCACCCCCATCTGCATTTTTTCTTCTTCCTCTTTGTCCTTCAATAATTAAACATTTAATGAGTAATTATATAACATGCTAAACCCTGAGGATACAACGATGATAGGCACGTTGTAGTTAAGAACACAGCCTAAACAGGACGACAAACCCAAAACCAACAACACGTGATAAAGACAACCACAGGAACAAAGTAAATGGAAGCATGGGTTAGGGAGTAATTCTGTCCAGGGAGTCAGAAAAGGCTTTGACCCAGGTAACACCTGAATTAGGCATTAATGGTTATTAGGATTTTGTCAGGAGAGCAAGATTATTTTGGACAGAAGAGACAGAATAATACACAAACAAGGGTGAGAACCAATTTAGGAATGATTAGTAGACTACTGTGACTGAAACACATTATACCTGAGGGAAGTGAGAGTAGTAGAGGAAGGTAAGATCAGAAAGGCAGAGTGGGCCCAGATCACCATGGGTCTAATGTCATGCTAAGGAATTTGAACTTTATAATATGGGCAATGGGAATCTATGGAATTCTAGGCCAGAAATAACTGTTTGATACTTACTGAAAATTTGCTGTATGTTAGGTACTAGAATGATCCTATCCGTACTTTAGAAAAATAACTGATGACAAGTAATGGAACGGCTTGATGGAAGACAGGAAAAGAGCAGAAGTAAGGATATTAGGAGGCTATTACTCTGAGTGTGGGCAAGAGATAAAGGCCTGAACTATGTGGCAGCAGAGGGAATAAAAATATAGGAATGGATTTGTAACAAAGATAAAATCATGTAGAACCTAGAAACTAACTGGATGTCTCTCTTGTGATGGAGGTGACAAGATAAATGATAGCTTTCTGAGGTTGGATAATTAAGTGGCTGGCTGCCAGTTAAGGGAGCTAGAAAAACAGGAGGAACCATCAAATTAGGGGTACCTCTGTTTCCATGTGCATAAAGCATGTGAAAGTATACAAAACTGGGAGAAGAGTGGAAAGGGAGCAAAGAGCTTTATGTGTTTTTTGCAGAATATTCAGTTGTGGCTCCCTTATAAGAACTATTTGGGAATCTGGTCTGAAACTCAGAAAAGTCAGCAATGGGCTGGCCCTGTGGCTTAGCGGTTAAGTGCGCGCACTCCGCTGCTGGCGGCCCGGGGTTTGATCCCGGGCTCGCACTGACACACCGCTTGTCCGGCCATGCTGAGGCCGCGTCCCACACACAGCAACTAGAAGGATGTGCAGCTATGACCTACAACTATCTGCTGGGGCTTTGGAGGGGGGAAAAAAAAAAAGTCAGCAATGAGGATATCCTAGGAGCCATCAGTTCTTTACCCCCACTTCTCTGCCTCCCCTCAACCTCCCCTGGATCTCTTCCTGAGATTGGATGAGTCACACGTTTCATAGCTGTGGGTTTTTTTTTTTTTTTTTTTGTGAGGAGGATCAGCCCTGAGCTAACATCCAATGCCAATCCTCCTCTTTTTGCTGAGGAAGATTGGCCCTGGGCTAACATCCGTGCCCATCTTCCTCCACTTTATATGGGACACAGCCACAGCATGGCTTGACAAGCGGTACCTCGGCGTGCACCCCGGATCCGAACCTGCGAACCACAGGCTGCCGCAGCAGCGGCGTGCGCTCACCTAACCACTGCACCACCTGGCCGGCCCCCATAGCTGTGGTTTAATGAGCAGGCACAACTCCCTCTGCTAAAGAGAGGTTGGCAGGCTCCTTCAATGAAAATAACTTCCTCTTTGGCTCCCCCTTCCCTTTGCTCTGGGAATATCAGGACTTTTGCAGGTTTGCAGGCCTTCTGCATAGCTGTTTAGATCATGGGCCATAAATTGAAGCAAATAGGAAAAGAATGGGGTGACTAAAACCCTAAAATTCCAGTGGGTACTAAATGAGCTCAAGTAAACTCCAAGCGTGAGAGTCATCAATGAATATGGCAAATTCACATTAACATTTTACTGATGAGAATCTCCATAGTGGTACAGTGGCTACCTCTTATCTGTGTCTAACAGAGACATACTAGAGTTAGTTGGCAAATACACAAGGCGAACAGGTCCCCCAAACTGTCTGCAAGGCGGTGCTGGTTAGCCACAAACTCTCTTACAGGCATTTGAGACAGGTGATTTTTAATATTTTCTTAAAAAAATACAAAGAAGATGAACTCTTCAGGTCAACACAACTCAGGGGGAAAGAGGAAAAATGGAATTTCAGAGTAAAGGGAAAGTGCATTCTTATTTAAATGTCATGTTCCCACACTCCCAATACCCATAAGGCAAGAATTTCACTCCATAACACAGGGGAGCCTTGAGTGATATCTCAGAAATGGTGATAGCAGGTACTGGAACTAACAAAAGAATTCTGGTTGTTCTTGATTATTCTGTCCTCGGATGGATAAAATCCACTTTAAGGACAGAGAAGGGAACCTTATAGTAGGAAAAAGACTAAACGTACCAAACGCAGCAGTGAAAACCCCTCCTTAGCAGAAGTGTGCCCTTAAAAGAATGGGGCAGTAATCAGGTAGCTGAACTTCTAGGCTGCTGCCATCCCCACCCCATCCCCAAATAAATAGTTTGGAAGTATAACAGCATAGCCATATTTGATTCAACAGAGAAAGACAGTCTCTCACCCACTCGAGGCAAACCTCACCACGGACAGAGAAGCCCTGGCAGGGATTAAGACAACGTACAATCACGGAACTTCTGATTCGTCCCCAGGCACACTGAACTCCCACATTTACTTCATCTCCGCTCCTCCCAACGTTTGTTCACTCTGTTATTCTCAGTCTCCAGTGCCAAGGTGCACAACACTCTAGTTCAGAAAGACCATGGAGAAATAAAAAGATCCTTCAAATGATACACCCTTCTCGGTCTTCCAGGTTATACTTAAGTGGTTTTCTAGGTTCACTCATATCTCATCAAATTCAGTTTACCTCACTTACTCTAAACTCAGTCCTGATATACCAACCCTGTCCCCTTTAAGGGAGTGTCAGACAGATCTCTCCCCAGGCCCCTAAAGTTTGACAGGGATCTTTCATTGGTTTTCCTCCAGGATGGAACTGTGCTGCCCCTAGCTACCTATAAACTAGGAAAGATATTTATCCCTGGAAAACAAGACTTGGATTTTACCAAGCTTACTCGAGTTGGTATTCTTCCAACCATCTTAGCTGAATACTGCCCACATCTAGTAGGTCAAACTCACCTTCATTCTCTGCAACACATGAGGCACAACATATATATTCATATATATATGTACATATTCTCCCAAGCATGGTAAGTTAGAAATGACAAGAAAGTGCTCCCTAGACCAGAAGAAGAGGTGACCTGGCCTCTCACATCCATTCAGTGTGCATTCTTTTCCCCCGAGTGTCTGTTACCCACCCTCCTCAGAGACAACTACCAGCGCGAGGGAAAGGTGTGTCAAATAAGTACAACTGTCACTGCACCAGTGCTTGTAATCACCCTGTGCACACAGTGAGAAGCAGACATTCTGGAAAGGATCCTTGATTCTCCCGCAAACTGTCCTTTGGACTGGTCACTAGCTCTGGATGGTGCTCCAACAATGGTCACTTCTCTCGGAGAACACACACGCCAGCGTCACAGCGCTGGGTTCCCATGGATGTCACTACTTCCCAGCTGTCGATGATAGGGTCATAGCACTCGATGCTACTCAGCAGGGAATTCCCATCATATCTGAGTGGGGAAGAAGCAAGAGAAGGAAATGAGCTTTCTATTCTTTTCCATACAAGTCCTACACTAAGATTGCTACTGGAGATGTCTCCCCAACCCAAACCCCATCTCCATCCAAAAATGTGGACTGGATCACATGGTCCTGGATGCATGATGACTCTAGCCTGGTTTCTAAATCCTCACCCTGCAATCGCATAAAGTCTCCCCCGAAGCACTGTGGCCCCTACATAGCATCGTGGAGTGGTCATACTAGTGACAGTTGTCCAGGAATCGGTGCGAATGTTGTATGCTTCAACGGAAGAAAGGTGGGCTGTACCATCAAATCCCCCCACCACATAAATATGGTCATTCAGCAGAGCTACTCCTGCACCTGGGGGAAAAAGGCACAG